TTCAAGTTGTTTTAATGAAAGTATTAAGACTTTATTAGCAAAAAAGTATAAAAACTTCTTGTGAACATCTTTTTTGTGTGTGGTCAGAAAATTACAGAAATAATAATTATATTTTTACAACCAGTTTTTATAACTATATATTAATAAATTAATAAATATAAAAAACAATATGTTGTATATATTATATAAGCTTACTTTTTTAAACTTTTTTCTAATATAATTAAACTTTTTGTATACTTAAATTAATAATATATATAAAATATTACAAATAGTTTTTTGTTTTATTAAAAAATATTGTTTGAATTTTATTTCACTCTTCTATCAATTTAACAAATACAATATTATTTGTAATCTTATTAATTATAATTTCCAATATCTTTAAATTTAAATAAATTGTTTTAATATTATATTATATTTATTTTAAATATATAAAATAAATTTATTTTTGTTTGAATTATAAATTTTTTTAAATGTAATAAAAATACTTCTTTAATATTTTTATTTGAATGAATACCTCACAGTTATACAAAGGTTATTATTATATTTTGTATTCTCCAATTTTTATCAATAAAATGAATAGTTATACTTAAAAATATTTTTATTGAAACTAACATTCAAATATAAAGTGTAAATAAAATTTGACTTTCTATTTCTTGTAATATCTTTTAAATTTTTTCTTGAATATTTAAATAATGATTAATTATATAGGTTTTAATAAAAATAGTAAATTATATTTTTGTATTTAGTATTAATGTTTATACAAAAGTAAGAAAAACTATTTCTTGAACAATTGTAAAAGATTGCTGGTTAATATTGATCTATTGAACAAGTTTTTTTTATTTTTGTTGAGTTATATATTCAATATATATAAATATAAAAATTAATGATTTTAGCATTATTAATTATTAAATTTAATTTTGTTGGATAAGTTTTTTTAAGATATTTATAATATTAGAAGTATTGCCTTCACTACTAATATATATTGTCTTACAATATTTATAGGTAGCCTTTTTGTCCTCTTTAAAACTTGTACTTCTTGTAAAGTGTTCTTATATTTTATTTCTAAAAATTGTTGAGATAACCAAGGCCAATTCTGATAAATTGTTTATATTAATATTTTTAATATTAATATTATTATGACTAGCTAAACTGCTACTTTTATTGTATACAAATTGAATACTAAGAAATAAGTTTTTATGTTTTATTTTTAAAAAAAATAAATTAGCAAAAATAAAGAATATAATAAAAGTAATTAAGTAATAAAACTATAATATCATAAAACAATATTTAAAAAATTATAAAAAAAACCAAATATTAGATTTTTTTTTTAACTTTTCTTTTATATTATTATTAAAAAAAACCAAGTTTTTTTATTTTAATTTTCTAAATAGTTCGATTTAAATAAAATTAAATAATAATTTATATAGATAAATTTATATTCTATTTGAATCATATCAGATTTGATTCAAATCTGATTTGTTCTAATTGGATTGGATCTGAATTAGATTTGAAACTGATAATTTTATAAATTTAAAATTCAATTCAATCTGAATCTGATTAAATTAAAAATTTTAAAATTTGATTTGATTTAATTAATATGTAATTTATGAATCAATCAGATTTGAATCAAAATTGTAGTCACTAATAATAAGAATTAGTTATAGTATCTATATATCAGGATACAAGCTAAAATTCTTTAAAGAATATATATAAATAAGTTCTTTGAAAAATATAAAAATTTTTTAATTGCTTTTCAAAATACCAGGAATTTGATAAAAATAGGTTTTTAAAATATTTAATATATAAAATTTTATAGATTATTTATATTAATTTTTAAGAATCACAATTTATAACTCATTTTGATAAGAATAAAATTTAAAAAATATTAAAAATTAAAAGTTTTAATAATAGAAAACTATTTTAAATATTTTTTTATAATCATTAATTTAAAAATTTTAATGTTTTCTAATAAAGGATATTTGATCTTTGTTTTTATTTTTCTCTTTAAGAATTTATCTTTAGTATTTGAGTAAAGTAGGATAATTAACAAAAATAATACTATTCCATAATAAAATTAATATGCTTAAGAGTGATAGGTAGTTAATAAAAGATTATATGAATTGCATATATAATTAAAAAATGTACTACTAAATAACTCAATAAAAAATTTATTATTAAGAATTTAAAAATTTATAATAAAAATATAATAAATAAATTCAAACTTTTATTAATAATATTAATTATTTGATTGAGATTAAATTCTATAGTTTTAAGTAATAAAAAAATTTTTTTTTTCTGAATAGCATTAAGTGTATAACTTTATTCAACAATTAAGTTGGTAATTAATACTAGTAATCATTATATGACTAATTATAGCTACCCGCATGGGTAGATCCTTATAAACTCTGGAAACTCATGTGAAGAAAGAGAAAAAAGATAAATAATATCTAGCTACTAGTTTACTATTGATCAGTAAGGGTGCTCGCTGGGATAATGTGGTAATATATATATGATGGTTTGGTTAGAAAAATCAGATTTTTGTTGTACTGGGCCTGAGAATCAGTTTGAGTCAGGATATAGGCTGTGGGTCTTTTCTTACTAGAGGCCATAAGCCTAATAAGGCGTAATCATTTTATATCGATCTTTTAAAGGAGGTAAGCTGACTACTGTTTTTGGTGGAATTTTGGGAGAAGGTTAAAACAAGAAGATGTTCTGTTATCATATCTCTTGAGTTGGGTGATAGTGGTATTATCAAGTATTCAAAACAAAAGATCTTATCTAGCTATTCACTTCTGATCAACATAATGGCAGTCTAGGCTCTCAACAAGTAAAACCTTATACTTTTGATGCTGCCAGATAAAATTCCTACCATTACTACCTCTTCTCCATTCATATGGCTTTGTAAAGTAATTAATGATTATAGAAAGATATGCCTAAAGTTTTGAAAATGTGGTCTCCCTTGCTACAGATTCACCTTTCAATTGTGAAAAGTCTTGTTTTAATCTTTTTTATGTATTAAGCCTACTGTCTTGATTAGGATAAAGCCTTGATATATCATGGGGTTGATGATATGGTTCAATAGAAGAAGGAGTGAGAAGCCTAGGAAGAAAACCTTGAAAAAGGGAAAAGCTATCCATCAGCAAAAGAGATATAAAATGAAGGGGTAAAAGATAAATGGGGTAAAAATGAACAGGTAGGAAAGGTTAAGGAGTTGGAGAAGAAATAGGAGAAATAAAAGTATTCTTATCTATGATGACTCAGGTATACACAAAGCCTCGCTCCAGGAGTTGTCCTGCCCCAAAGGACAATTCCCTTTGTCTCAGACATTTGTCATGTACAGAGTTCAGGTTTGTTCATGCTTTCCTAGATGTACTACTGCTTTTTATACATCAACAAGTCAGATAACAGAGCCTCATGTGGTATCAGCACAACTCAGACTTTGTCCGTTGCATAGTTAATATTCTCGTATAGAGTAAAGAAGGGGAAGGGGAAAAAGAGAACTTCCTAAAAAGGAAATTTCTATGAAGTAGGAGGAAGTGGGAAAGAGTTTTTTTTTCTATTAGTTTAATACTATAACAATAACATATTTTTTTAATTAAAATAGTATTTAAAAAAAATAATTTACAATATATATACCTCTTTTAAAGAAAATAATTTATTTTGATTAAATTATTATATTTCTATTTTTTAATTTGATTGATCTATATTTGACTAATGCCTCTCTAAGTTTTTTATATGAAATAATAAGAAAAATATCTTAGATTTTAAAGTTTTACATTTTTGCAATAATTTAATTATAAATAGAGATTTTCTGCATTTGTATAATTGTGTTATTATTGATTATAGTTGCAATTGCCTTTTGAGTTCCTTTTTTATTTACAAATAGGAAAGTAATGTCTATAATAAAACAAGCAAGTTTATGTACCATGCATATACAAGGTTTGTTTTCTAGAAAATATATTAGATCTTAAGTTATATTAAAATATATAACCAAAACGATTATTCTTTCAATAAAATCAATTTGAGACATGACAATAAATTAAGGCCAAACTTCTTTGTTAAAAAAAACATAACTTTAAATTAAAAATTTTTTGACTTATTAATTTTTGATTAATGACAGAACGTATGCAATAAACTATTAAGGTTCTAATATTAAATTAATTGTTAAATACCAAGTGACCCCAAACCCTTCGTTTACATGAAACATATTTATTATGGTTCTTTTTTCCCAGAACCACATCCATCATTCAATTCCTGTTCCTCTTTTGTTAAACGAATCAACGCGGCCTCTGCTAAAAGTTCTCGCATAGGCAAATTTTTGGTTCGTGTTGGATCTCCGCCTAGCATGAAAGTCCCGCCTTCGTATAATTCATCTTCATCAGTATCTTCTGGGGGGTTATAATATTCGTCATTTGATATTTTATGCCCTTTCGAAACAGTCCAGTCCATAGACACTATAATAAAGCTTTTTAGCATAGTATATTGAACATTTTGAAAGGGAACTAATCGTGCAAACTTACCAACATCCTTATTCAGTTGTCTATTAAGGCGATGGAAGTTTTCATCATGTTCACCCCATACATTATGCGTGAGTTCATGCAACAAAACTTTTCTAACATCATTATAATTCCTAAATCCTTCCATGTCATCTGTTCTCAATCTTATAGAAATCTCTTGGCCCGCATTACGGTTTAAACCTAATATTGTTCTTTCAGCCGGTGATAACTCTCGTAGCACGCCGACGCTCCATTTATAGTGTGACATGATAGCACGAATACCCCGGTCATCACGTAACTTTTCGAGCAGCACTCGTGCTTTGTCTTGACTCGGAAAACTGTTTATGACCTCGATTCGATGAAATGTAAATTTACTGTATGATGTACCCTCTGTCCGTTTTATGTTCTTGTAAAGGTTTACTGAATAATTTGGTTTCGTTATTTGATTTATTGATTTCACGTCAGCTGTTTTTATTGCTTGAATTTCTTGTTGTGAACTTCCTATCAGCGTTACTTTGATTCTAGACTTGAATTCGCTTTGCTGTAAGGTAGCATCATCTTTAAGAAGACGACCTAACACGAAATAATGAAAACAATGAATAACTGGCAGATAAATAAATAAATAAAATAATGCCAACCTTTATTCATCAACTTCTGGAATTCGACCGGTACTTTCGATTCCACCATAAGGTGTTCTTTAAGTTCACGAATTGTGGAATTGACATCCCAATTCTCTACATGGATAATCGTGCCTTTAAAACTGACCTGAAAGGTGACTACCAAGTAAAGGGAAATAGTTCAGTTAATATTAAGATAAAAACTGTTATATAACATAAAAAACTTACTTTTATCAGTCATTTTTTGTAAAACCGATTAAAAAAATGACAGAAACCTTTATAAATTTATAATTGCCATTACCAAATTTGAAGTTTATTGCTGGAATTTTCTGGAAGCCTGCTTAGTAATACTTATAAAACTATTTTGATTATCTCAATTTAATTCTTAATTTTGAATAATACAAATTCTTATTAAAAGTAGTTGACAAATATAAAACATATTAGTTTTTGAAATGTAAACAAGCTCTTATAATTACAATCATTTGTTTCAATAATATTATTAATAATTGAAAAAAATGTTCTAAAAATATTCTTCTTTTAAAAACTTAAATTTCTTAATAAAAATATTTATAATATTAAAATATCAAATGATAAGTAATATAAATTACAAACTTTTATCTTTTATTTAAATTCCTTAGATAATAATAAAATTTTAATAAACAAAAGCTAATATTTAAAAAAATTTTTGAGATATTCTAATCTGATATTTATTTAAATAAAAAATTGGTTAAATTGATTTATTTGATATTATAATAGTAATAAAAAAATTTTTTTTTTTTTTTTTTTTATTTAAACTGCAACTAATATTAGATGCGAGCTGTTTATTGATAATTAAATCTTAAGCGTTACATCAATCATCTCATACATATACATACAGATTAATAATAACCTATCACGACTTGTCCTAGGCAGACCTGCTTGAAACCTCCCTGTAGGTGGGCATGTCTGACTAGGGGCTGGATAGTTGATAACAGTCATCAATGACAATATTGGTATAGTTAGCTAATTCTGTTATTAAGGGACTATACTGCTATGCTAACTTATACTGTATATTGGTGTCAAATCCTCAAGTGTTAATTTAACTACCCAGATACCTTGATACTTTTCACTTGAACCTCGAAAGGGATTTCAATCTTCTTTGTCATCACCTGCAGCATCACAGACAAGTCCTATTTAATAGATCCTTCATTTAAGCAAGCACCGAATTGGAATATTTCAAGTTAGGGTAGTCAGATTCCAGAGTCTGCTGGTACAGTTTGGGATAGAGAATGTTTAGACGATTGCTGCAGTCCTAAAAGTGGGGTCTCAGAGTCTGCTAGTACAGTTTGGGATTAGTGTTATGTTCAGATGATTACTGCAGTCCTAAAAGCAATAAAAAAAAATTTCTTTTAAGATTTAAGTGAATCAAAAATATTATATAAATTAGATAAAAAATGTTTAAAGAATGGTTGTTTTTATTTCTGAACTTTTTTTATAAATCTCAAATAGTTTCTTTTTTCAATTTCTTTTTTTCTTGTTTTCTAATTTAATAATTTATTGATTTTTGAATTAATCAATAATAATAAACTATTAATAATAATCTTAATAGATAGTAATTTAATTCAATTATATTAAAAAAATATAATATTGTTTTTAAAATTTAATTTAAAGTATTTATATATAAAAAAAGTTAAATATTTTGTAAAAATTTATAAATTATTATGAATTTTGTTTTGATTTCATAATAAAAACAAGTAATTATAATATAATTTTGAATTAGCAAAAAAAAAAACATTTTTATTTAATATTCAAATGATATTTTATTTGCTTTAATTATAGAATATACCATTTTTAAAATTAATTTAATCAAATTTTTTAATAAAAATTTTTTTTTGTAATTTATTTCTTTCTTTTTGAATAATAATAAAAAAAAATTTTTTTTTTTTTTTTACTTGTAATTTTCTTTTTTTGAATTTTATTTTAAGTTTTATTAAATATTTTTAATCTGATTTTAATTTGATAATAATAATAATTATTTTATTATATTAATTTTATATTTTTCTTTCTATTAATTATATATTTTAATTTATAAAAAATAATAAGATAAACTTATGAAAAAACTCTTTCTATTGATTCCTAGTTTTTTTTAAAAAATTTTTTTGATAATTTTTTTGTAAACTAAAAATGGAGCGTCGGCGTGCTACGAGAGTTATCACCGGCTGAAAGAACAATATTAGGTTTAAACCGTAATGCGGGCCA